TTATGAGCCAGTTTCATGATTCTGATGTCCAACTCCCCCATAGTCATGTGACCACATTTTGAACACTCAGCAACTGCCCTACCTCTTTGGCCATTTGCAGCAGAACAGTCACATGACCATGATTTTCAACATTTTTGCCAGGAACTAGCCTTTACTCTGGCAAACACTTCCTCATAGTGAACAATGCTATTTTTGTTTAACAACTTCTGCATTTGCTTAACAACCCCCATAAAAGTCATAAATTCAGGTGGTGACACACTTATGACCATTGTGACCATTGTGACATACTTATGACTACATTTGTGACTGAAATTGTAGGCTCAGTTTTAACTTTACTCAGGAACTTCTTGTGTGCAGCTGTATACAAATAGATTTAAAATGAAGTAGATTCCCAAATGATTTGACTCTAAAATGTTTTCTTTTCTGATAACCAATGTAATTTAAATTTTATATCAACCTCCTGAAGCAATCTAATCAAAAAGAAAGCTTAATATTTTTTACTTCTTACATTTTTAGGTCAGAGCTTGAGGCCAAGTATAAAAATGTTTTGAAAAATCCCATGTTAAAATAGACAATATCTATAAAATGCATTAGTGCTTTATGTTTCAGGAAGTGTCAATTTTAATTCTTTTATACATCAGTATGAAGAAAAGTGACAGAAAAACAGGACGTACTTACTATATTTGTAGCACTCCTTTTTGTACACCAAGTTTAGCAGGACAAATTTGCTAAATAAAAAAATAAAATAAAAATGAATGAAAGAGCAGGCACGATCACTAAAAATATGGTTTCAAAAGATATGTGTTGCAGAATATATGTGCACTATGCCATAATTCATAGAAAACCTTATTTGTACTACATAGAAATTACCAGGCCTTTAAAATGTTTTTGTATTACATATTGTCAATATCCTTGGCCATACTGACTTGGACAGCTAAAGTCCAACATGATGTGAAGGACCACAACTTTATCATTCCTGCTAAAATAGCATGATGAATCTATATTTATAATATAAATATTTATTTTATCTATATTTATTAAAAGTTATTGTTTGAAAAATATGAATATTTATGATAATATTTAAGCAGTTTGTAAAAGAAACTTTTTTTTCATTCTATTTTTCATTTTTAATAAACTTCTCTAACTCATTTTCATTTTTTAATGAAATTAAAGCTTTTATTTTGAAAGATGTTTATGTTCCTGAATTTTATTATTTCTCTCAGAAAACTTTTTGTCCCTCATAACAACAAAGCAGATGGTTAAAATGTCAACTGTCAACATATACAGTAACAAAGTTTCAAATTTTCTTTCAAACTCTATCTATTTCCATGCCCAATACTGCAGTACAGCTCTTTCAGAACTACTTTTGTTAAAAGGAGTCAAATATTTTTAGAATGTTTTGAGCCTGCATAAGCTGAAGTATTAAATATTGCCATTTATTTTCTTTCTGACCTTCATGTACATAAAATGTGGTCTAGTTTTATTTTCAGTTATAAATCCAAAGATAACATTATGTGAGCTAAGGGCATTCCTGATACACAGAATGACTTCCATATACCTGTAGTAACCTCTGTTCATAATGATGTTCTGTACTCAAGGATTCTCTACCTCTCAGAAACTGATTTGATGAGAGTGCAAGAACTGGAAATACTGTCACCTTCAAAGCTCTCCATGTTCAGCCGTAACTATTTGTGGGATCACCACAGCAGGGACTGTGTCAATCTGCTTTCTTTAGGAATAGCGCAGCACAGCGCAGCGCAGCGCAGCACGGCATAGAATACTTTATTGGCCAAATGTGATTGGATACACAAAGAATTTGCCTCCAGTACATAAGCTCTCAGCATACATACAAACAAAGTGATAAATCAAGGGTGTCAAACTCAATTTCATTGAGGGCCACATCAGGCTGTGGTTGACCACGGGGGGGCTGGGTGGGTGCGGCCAACTGGGTGGGTGTGGTCATCTGGGGGGCACGGGGGGGGTGCGGCCAACTGGGTGGGTGTGGTCATCTTGACACCACTCACTGGGTGTGGGCAACTGGGTGGGTGTGGTCATCTTGACACCAGTCCCCAAATTGCTGGCATGTTTCCTCTTCGCACTGGGTAGACCAGGCTGAAGTGATGCAGGATAGCTCCTTACATTTGCCAGGATGATCCCGCAGGCTGGATTCGACCACATCACAGTCCAGATATGGCCTGTGGGCCTTCCGTTTGACACCCCTGTGATAAATCATAAATAATACAATCATAAATAATACAATCATAAATAATACAATCATAAATAATAAGATGCAACCAACAAAATGATAGCCATAAGATACCAATAATAGTAGTTAATAAAAAAGATGAGAAGGATAATAATGATACAGTCCTGCTACATGTTTAGGGATGGATGTTGCTGTGCAGTGGTGGACTAAAACCAATTTAACAACCGGCATGGTGAGCACACGCAACATTCAAAATGCAGCAATTTGAAGCTCAACTGCTTATCTTTTAGGGCAGCCCCCATAAGTAGAACAGCTGAGGTACTGAAATCAGCTGTGCTGCATGAATCAGCTGAGCCAGAAAGATGGAACTATAGGACAGGATAGGGCAGGTGAGGTGGGCAGGGCCAGCTGATGGTCGGAACTACCACTAGATCAGGTCTGAACTGATAGCAGCCTATCATTGATGCTGTAGGAATTATGTGTTTAGCAGACTGATAGAATTGCATCTTCTTGATACTTTGAAGACTTTTTTCTTTTGGTGTTTTATAAAGACATGGTTACTTCAAAGAATCTGGGGGATGAATGCCTTTTTCCCAATAGCATGGAAGCTGTTTTAAAGTGGATAATGGTATATTCTTAGATTCTCATTTACTGTATGTTGTTTTATAGTGCTTTGGTTTTGTTTTAATCTGAGCTACAAATGCCATCCACAGCAGTTTATGATTGGAACAGCCCATAAGTCCTATAAGACACATACATACAGGGGTGGGATGCTATCGGTTCTGCTTGTTCTAAAGCACCGGTAGCTCTGAAGAGCAGCAGATACCGAACCAGTTCTGTGTTTGCTGCTGTTTGGCCCACACGCCTGCCCGGGCTCTTACCTGTCCTTTATTTCCTGCTTTTTCAACCTCAGCTGCTTTGCGTGGCACAGCTGAGGTTGAAAAAGCAGGAAAAAAGGGGCTTTTCAAATGCTGCGCACCTGCACACAGTGCTTATCAGCTGTCCGGGCAGCACAGCTTAAGGTTTTTTACACATGCACGCGGTACCGAACCTGTAGTAACACCGGTTGAACCGCACCCCTACATACATATCTAAATACACATATGCGTACATGTTAAAGGTAAATAAATTACATTTAGTGAAACAAATAATAGTGTCCTGATAGCTTCCTTTTAAAATAAAATGTTAACATAATTGAGATTTTTTTGCTTCGTTTCTGACTATTTTCTGTCCATCTATTCCTTTTTTTAACTAATGCAAGTTATAATTTCTATTACAGTTCAGAAAAAGGGAATGAGCCATAATAGGATAAATTGGGAGGGGGGGTTCACTTGTTACATTAAATGGTAATTTTTTTTTAGCCATAAGCAAGTCAACTGGACCAGTTTCACTTCCTACCCTGACTCATGTACTTGTTTTACAGTATATCATGTATAACCAAAAAGAAACAAAGCACATTATAGCTTGCTGTTGTATGCAATCCATACCAGTAGAACTATTTTTGAGTATATATATATTTAGAATTGGTTTAAATCTGAAATATATTTATTACAGATTCTTTAAAAACCCATTCTGGAATCTGAGGTCAGGAATTGAATTATGCTATTTTGAGGCTGAAAAGTTAAATCACTGGGAATGGAAGGAAATAATATTGCTTTTAAAAATTAAAGCCAGGAATAGAAATGATACAATTTCCAGGATCCTAATATTTTCCAATTTCAGCCTTTAAGGCCATTTGTGTTATTAACCTTGATTGCAGGAAGTGAATGCTTGTTCTTTTGTCCTATTCAGGGATGTTCAATTCTCCATTTCATGTGGAGCAGTTATAATGGTGATTCTGCTTTTATGATAGCATTGTTCTGTTGTGGGTTATAAAAAATGCTATTTGGTCACAGAAAGGCTCATTTAAGAATATGATGGAAATATATTATCTTGCTTACTGACCTTATCTGAAATTTGTGATGAGGATGGAAAATTGTAAAAATTTATGAACAGGGCAGAACTAATTTTCCTCAATTCTAGACACAAATCATATGCCCGCAGCCTACAGAGATGTTAATGGTGAATAAAAAGTTGGAAGGCATCAGATTAAATATAAGATATGTAGTTAGAGTTGGGATAAGGTTGCATTGTTTACCAGTTTTCTTCCAGGTCCAATTCAGGGTGTTAATTATTACCTTTAAAGGCCTATATTGCAAGAGTCAATGATATCTGAGGAGTCATTTCACGCCAATGGGACTTGCCCACCCACTCCTGCCAGCAGAAGAGGCCTGCTACAGATCTCATTTCCTAAGGAATTTTTGCAGCCAGGGTCAATGGGAAGAGTGTTTTCCACTATATAGACAACTTTCTGAAATAACTGAGAACTTCTCCCACTTTTTGGCCTTCCAGAAGGATGTTAAAACTGGATTTAGCCAGTTGACTTGGGCCCCTGAGAGAGATGATCACTGCTGGAGGCGGTTGATGGATTAAGAAGACCACATCTCTGTATCTTCCATCTCTTGATTCCTGATTTTCTGCATAGTTTTAAAATTGTAATTACTTTTCTGTTTATGTTTTTGTGATTTGTAAGCTGCCCAGATTTACCCTATTGGGAAGATGGAGACAGCATATAAATTTAATAAATAAATTCTTTAACAATCAGTGGAAATATTCCAAGCAGATAGAGTGAAGTGCTTTGATACTGTACAATATTAAAAGGAAAGTGTAGGGAAAAAAAAGTCCTCAGAAGATTAAAGTGCTATTAATGCAAGGCATCTCAAATACTTTGTCTTGTTTCCTCTCCTGAATCCACTTTGATCACTGTGATAAAATTCATATTATGCCTTACTGATTTCAGGGGAAGAAGAAACCCTCTTCCGATGCTTCAGGTATTCTGTGACTTTTACTTATGTGTTATTTCGGCTTATCTTGTTCCTCAGAATCAAACTAATATTCAGTATCATATCTTGAATCTTGAGGAGCATTTCCCCTCAGCACCTGGTTTCCCTGACCTTAACAGAAAATTGTGAACGCTTGGCAGCTATTTATGCACTCTTTGATGGTTCAGCAATTTACTGAGATAGACCATTTATATTAGTATGGAAAAACTGAAATATGTAACACCATTCCACTGCAGCAATGTTTCTCAACCCTGGCCCCTTTAAGATGCATATACTTCAGATCACACAATTCCCCAGGCAGCAATGCTGGCTGGAAGATTCTGGAAGTTCACTCCACATTATCTTAAAGGGGCCAGGATTGAAAAACATTGTTTTAGGCTAGGGCCTGAAAATAATACAGTTCAAAATTGTGCTTAGATGTTACTTGAACAAACAAAATCACAAAGAGAGGACTGAGAATCTGATCACTTATGATTCTGTATATCTGAAATAATTTCCATGTTATTCAAACCTGTTCATAGGATGGAATGGAGTAATTCAAGCATTTTGTTGACTTCTTTGGTCTGCAACAACTTAAATGGTTTCCCTAAACTACTGATTCCTTTGATATTGAACAATCATAATCACATCTATGTGGAAAGAAGCAAATTTATTCTTGGAGTACTTAATTGGTTCATCAAAGCAGATATTTTGTACTGCTTGATTTATTCTTTGTTGTTTCTATAATTGTATTTTAGATTTTGTTTTCATACTGCATATATTTACAGATCATCTAGGGATTTTTTTATTATTGGGTAACATATTCTTTCAGTAAACATTTAATAAAGTAACTCCATGTACAAAAAAAGTCTGTGTAGTCCCCAAATCTGTAAAATAGTTTTAAAAATTCTGAATTTTTCTTCAGAGCTTACAAGGCTGATAAACTATAGTATGCATTTTCCACTGGCCTCTAAATTGCTGTGAGTACTTTATACTGTAGCCTCAAAAACTGGTAAAAAGAAATTGCCTTTTAGTTGCACAGCTGTTGACCCATTAAATTTCAGTTTATAAGAGAATCTATATATTAGCATTTTTGCATCAACTGAAATTGCACTTGAGAAAATTGAAAATGCATGACATGATTAACATGTAAATAGACAGAAAATTTTAAACATTTTGACATCACTCCCTTTCCTAAGATTATTCAAGTACAAATCTGTGTTTAACCTTTCTGATAACTCAAACTGATATACAGTCATTGTGTGTATGTGGGGAGGGTGTATGACCTAGTTTTACTATGACCACTACAATCCTGTGAGGCAAGTTGGACTGAGAGAAAATGACTGATTCAAAGATAGGTGATTTCTTTTAAAGCTTATTAGCAATTTTCTAACATATTTCATGATGCAGACACAACTCCCATTAAAGTTAGTAGTATTTACTTTGGAGGGAATTATGCCTATGTAAACCAGTTTACAATCGTTTTTATTTTTGTATTTTATATAGATTTTCATGTGAGCTGTTTTGATTGTGGCAGCAATCAGAATATGTTTAATAAATAAATTTGTCTATCCTCAAAGTCAGTGTTTTTCAATTTCAGCAACTTTTAGGTTGTTTGAACTTCAACTCCCAGAATTCATGTGCTAAGCTCATAATATATACATTTCCTATATATAAATTTTAAAAAATTCATCATCAAGAAAGCCAATAATTAGGATTTTCTATAGCTTCAGCAGCACTTCATAAAAAGGCCTGACTTGAGACCCATCAATCACACCTATTTTGTAGGACATGCAAAATACCTTAAAAGATAAGTGGGAGCAAAATATTCAAGGTATTAAAGCAGCTTCTTCTTCTGAAAGGAACATGTTTCATTATTGTCTGTACATATTTGTATTTATTTTTGCTTTTCTGGCAGTTCCAGTGGAAGAGTCTGTACAATGCACATATGATAATGTTGTAGACATTTTTCAATCTGAAGAACATTAAGATATATAGATTTCAGCTCCCAGAATTCCTGAGCCCTGGGATAGATTGTTGATGAAACCTTGAAGTAGCTATTCCGAACCTTCTGAGGGAAAGAGGTTGCTTTAATCTTTCACAGCAGCACAGCAGCACTGTGAATATTCTGTAAAACCCTACCATCTAGGACTCTAACAGAGTATTTATTCATTTATTTAGTAATGCATTGATGCATATGTTAACAGCAATTATATAGAATGCCTAGGAAATCTATAGAATGCATAGGCAAAGAAATAGCAATATCAATAATATTTAGACTTTTATACCGCTTTTCAGTACTTTACAGCCCTTCTAAGTAGTTTACAGAGTCAGCATTGGCTCCTCATTTAACCCACCTCGGAAGGATGGAAGGCTGAGTTAACCTTGAGCCTGGTGAGATTTGAATTGCCAAATTGCAGTCAGCTGGCAGTCAGCAGAAGTAGCTTGCAGTACTGCATTCTAACCACTGCGCTACCGTGGCTCATACCTGTGTTATTTTAATATGCTATATACCATATTTATCGGCGTATAACACGCACTTTTCCCCCCTGAAAATAGGGGGCAAATGATGTATGCGTGTTATACGCCGATGTCCCGTTCCCAATAGTGCCTAGCGGCGGCGCAGCGTCATGACGCTGCGCCCGCCGCATATTAAAGGGAATGCGTGTTATACGCCTGTGCGTGTTATACGCCGATAAATACGGTACTTTTCCTATATAACACCCCTGCATTATGCAGAATGAGAAGAACTATTTAGACAAGGAATGAAAAGAGAATCATGAAAGGGTTAGGGTTAGAGTTAACTTTAGCCCTATCCCATTATTGAAAAGACATATACAAATATGAAAGAAGAAATGCAGAATAAAGTACAGAACTTTCTTATTGAAAAAAGAAAAACAAAAGACCAGTATTGATCTACTTGCTGCAATAAGGAAGGTTAGAATGCAATTTTAGCGGGAGTATTTTTTTATTTGTTGGTTTGCCTTCTGGCATTGCATAGACTTCCTAGGAAATGTGTGAAATATTTTGACACCCCATTTTTGGCATTCTATAGATTTTCCAGGTATTTATAAATGCCTAATTTCACACATTGATGATAACATATATACACGTCATCTGTATAATTTACAAATATAAACACAACAGAATACATTTCATTCCAGGAACCATACAACAACAACAATAAAGGAAAAGAAATGAAAGAAAAAAGAAAGAAAAAAATTCACATCATCCAAACTGGATCAGCGAGATAAAGGTCCAAACTAAAATGGGAGCTGAATATCAATACTTAAATTCAAAAGCTTGCCATAATAAAATTATTGTAACTTTCTTACACAAGAACCACAACAAAGAAGCCTGTGAATAAAAGTCTGTCTTTGGGGTCAGGAGGACCCAACATCTCTATAGTCCAACTCCCACTTTCCATGGGCATTTATCTGTGCCCTCAGGATCACCTAAAAGAGAACCCTTTCAGCAGTTCCAGGAAGGTTTCATATCCATTTGCACTTTGGTTCAGGTGATCTTGAGGCCCAGATGAACCTCTAAGAGGCTTCAATGACTCTCAGAGGGAGTGCTAATGACCAGATGACTGCAAGGAATGTAAATCCTTCCATTCCCCACCATTCAGACAGAACTGAAGAAGTTTCTTGGATAAGAAGCAAAATGTATTCAAGAAAAAACAAAGTCCAGTTTCTTTTTGAAAAAGTACCTTTGGGACTTTTGCACCTTCTGTGGAGCAAAGTCAATGAAGAAACCAGATTCACTTAACAACCACATTACTAACTTAACAGTGATTCACTTAAAGGAAGGTCATAAAATGTGGCAACATTCACAAAGTCTTACTTTGCAATAGAAATTTTGGGCTCAATTGTGGTCATAAGTCAAAGACTACCTGTACCAGTGAAGAAACCAGAAGTGAAGTTGGCAAAAATGAAGAACAAAGTTGACTGAGTTGAGATATATACATAATCTATAGTAGGAGGAGTGGCAAAGGTGGAAGTTTTCGTGGAGAGGGAGTGTCTGAGCCAGTGTGGCTTCTTGGTAACTGCCTAGACCAGGGACTTTAAACTTGACAGCTTTAAGACTTGTGGACTTCAACTCCCAGAATTCCTCCTCCAGTCATGTTAGCTCAGGAATTCTGGGAGTTGAAGTTTACAGGTCTTAAACATGCCAAGTTTGAAGGCCCTTGGCCTAGACAAATCCCCTCAACTTTCTTGCCAAGATTTCAGAAATGGATTGCCATTGCCTTCTTCCTAGGGCTGAGTGGAAATGACTAGCCCAGGGGCACTCATTCACACCAAAGGAGGAACTAGAATGCTTTAGAAAGTCTATATATGTTAAATAATGTTGCAAATGAAAGCAACTGTGCAATTTGAAGATTTTTGTAATTACACAAAAGGGTTTGGAACCTAATGCATAAAGCAAAGTAAAATTGACACAGCCTATGTAGCTTAAAACTGCACCCCAGTTCTTTGTGATTTGGCTGTTGAAACTATTACCACAAGTACAAACAACATAGTGGCTTAATACTGATACTATACTGTGGTATAATACGGGTTGGTATGTTTTGTTAGCTTAACCACTGTGATTTGTGGTTATTCAATAATTATTATTAAATAAGTAAGGCTTAATGAAAGCCACATTCTTTGATTTTTTTTGCCAGTCCAACCCTTCTGATGACTAAAGAATGCCTTAATTAGCAAAGTAAATATGGCGGCAAGGGAAGGCAAAATGAAATGTGATGGCATTAGGATTCTGGGCTTGTAACCAAGAAAGGCATACAAAATTATTGTTGCATATGCCGCTGTTGAGTCTTGCTGGTGCAAAATTGTTTCCATTCCTGCCTTTCAATTAAGTATTGCTGCCATTATATTTTAACAACTTGGTTGCTGTTTAGTGTGAGTTTATATCATAGCACAATGGGATTTTGATCATATCTGTGTTCAATCAGCAGGTTGACAAATTTGTATAAGTGTTACAAGCCAGCTAACAAGAAAGCTTTTGTAGAAGCCCAGGTGATTTGTCTTCTAGCACTTTGTAATTTCTGTCAATATTTCTTGCAGAGTGCTTCTTGCAAAATCTTCAGATAGATTTTTATTTAGAGCCACTGGACATGGTAGGGAAGAATCATGACTTTGCTGAGTTGCTTGTGATCTCTCCTCTATAGTAGGTCTTGTCCTGCTTGCTAGAAGGCATTCAAACTTTAACAATAATATTAAAGGATTTTAGTAGTGATACTGCAGCTCCTGAAATGTTTTTTGAAAAGTTTTCAAATGATGTCTTGGGATTTAATGGAAACAAACAAACGAAAACCCACAACCAAATAGGCTGTAGATAATTGAAAGCATAATTGTACAATGAGAGACAGAACAAGTATAGCTTGGTCACCTCGTAACTGAGTAAGCACCGAAATACAATGTTTTACCAATAAGAATTTATCTTCTTCTTTGGGAAAAATTCTAAAGCAAATTCTCTTTCATCAAACTTGAATGAGGATTGGCAGAAGAAAATATTTCTCCACTCAGCAGTGTGTGTTCTAAAGTCAGTGGGCTTTTTCCAGGGCAAAACTGCATTATTTTTGCTTCCTCGTTTTAGTTTTGAGTACTAACTGGTTTTTACTATATTCCCAAGTGCCTTTATATACCAGGTCGGAATTGAAGCAAAGATAGTTTTCTCTTTTAGCTCAACATTTGCAAAACAGATTCTAGAAGGTGGCTTAAAAAGGGCTTGCTTGCTTGCTGAATATCTGGCATGGACTCAAACAGCAAATCTGTGCTGGCAACCACATTAATTGAGAAGAGTAAGAAAATGATATTGCAGCTTTAATTAAAAGGGTTAACATTGTTTCAGTGGAAACAGTGGATAGGAGTATTTCTATTGAGATCCACCACAAACAAACAGATAGATGTTTTGGGGATTATTTTATATGCTAGAATAGAATTCTTTATTGGCTAAGTGTAAATGAACACCCAAGGAATTTGTCTTGGTGCATATGCTGTCAGTGTGCATAAAAGAAAAGATACATTCATCAAGAGTCAAGAATCATAAGTTACAACACTTATGTCCTACTACTTAAATAAGTGGATACTTCTACCCATTTCTAGTTTGCTGTCCTCTGGAATGCTCTCATAACAAAAGCTGTTAAAAATCAAAGGAAGGTTATTACAGCATCCTGTAGAAGGACTGTTATCTGTCATCTGACTTGTGTGAGCTGGAATATGAAAGAAAGCTTAAAAGACATACTGTGTTTCATCTGTGTTTTGTACTAATTACATGGCCATGATCAAAGTATGTAAAACTGAGCAAGAACTAAAAATGAAAGAGTTTAGCCTTTAACTCATTTTAATAAAGAAGCAACTGAACAGCATTCTGGGAAATTTCACAATCAGGATAATGTGAACTCAGCATATAAAATATATACATAATGGAGTTTTAAGGTATTCAGTTGACTGAATATACACACATAGCTTGATTGAGTCAGTTCTCTGGACTTGACAGTTTTTCAATCAAATCCTCTTGCCCTGTGAATTAAACTTCTGAAAACTATTTGTCAGTTTTAGCCTTCTTATCTGCCTTGAGCTTATTATCTGTAGATGAGTGCTTCATACCTCTGAGGTCAGCTTTTAATCAATGCCATTTAGATTACTGGAATGAACTGGCAACCATTTTTAAATGAACTGATAAAGATATGCTGTTTGATGTGATTTGGCTGGTTTTGCTTTAATATGGTTTGAGCCAACAATTTTTTTATTGATCATCAAAAAGGCAAGAGTAATTCCCCCTTTTCTTCTTTGTTTTACTGTTTTAGAAGAACCAACTCTAGTGAGCTCTACATAATTCAACATAAGTGGTTAATCCCAGTAACTGAGTAATAACACAAGCTTGCAAGCATGCTAACCAACCAGCATTACTTTTTTCCAATGTACCATACTAGCTATTATAATTTGTAAACATATTTCATGGCGTATTGTTTTATAGTAAATCCACTAATTGTGGGTTATTTAAGATTTAGCAAATTGTTTAGCAAATAATTTCTCTCCAGCATCATAATTTTAAGTTGCATGGTTTTTTGTTCGCTTTCTTTGATGGTCCAGTTTCCTTAGCCATATATTAAACTTGAAACCTTTGACTTGCACAACCATACCTTTGTTGACCATGATATCTGTGCACTTAATATGCACTATAGTTGTCATCCCTGTGAACTTCTGAACCTAGAAAGCTAAAGCCCAAAGTCTTTTCTGTAGCTGTTTACATTGAGTTACCTTGGATGGGGATATAATATTAACGTTTTTCAATAATGGATTTCTAAGCCAGCTTAGTATTCTCTTCTTACACTTTCCAGTCATCAAAAACAGTATCATCACTTTATACAAGATTGCTGATCTTTCTCCCAGGGGTTTTAATTCCGATTTCTATTTCTGCCAGATCAGCGCTTCTCAAATGTTTTTGTGCGTATATGTTAAATTGGTGATGGTATATAACTTTTGCTCATTCCTTTTCCAAGTAAATGAATCAAATGAATCATTTGAGTGATTGACCAATTAGGCACCATCAAGCTGATGTTGAATCTTAGTGACCACTTTAAATTTTTTATCTATCTGATTTTCTTGGTAAAATACATGATTTACTGTTGTCTACTCCAGTGCAGTATGAAATGATGTTTTAATTTTTGTGATTAAAATGTTCTTCTGCCTTCAGCATCTTCCTATATCCAATACAAATTCTTGTTTGGTTTAGCTGGGCAGTTGGGTTGACCTTTACACTTTAGGTGACTGCAGTGCACAGGGATTATATTCTGTTGGCATACAATCCCTACATTTTTCCTACTTCCCTCAAGGAAACATCCGTCACCCCGAAATGATGAGACAACACAAACAAATGGGGAAGAGAGGTTGAATCATTTAATTCCTTTATATCATTTTGCTGGTGATCCCACAAATTATTCAATAGGAAGATGAGGTAACCCAGTACATCTATATTTCTTAACAGCTATCTACAATTTGTTGTGGTCAGCACAGTCAAAAGCTTTTGTGCAATGAATAAATAAAAAAGATTTATTTACTCTTTTTTTGTGAAACTCTCTTGCACTTTTCATTATCTACCAGATATTAGCAATCTGTTCCCAGGCACTTTTTCTTCTTCTGAATACAGCTTGTATATTTGGCATCTCATTCCCTATGCCTATAATTCTCACTTATCAAACCTCAAATTTCTAGGTTCTATTATATCACATTACCTAAAATGGACACCTAATATCAAAAACATCATCAAAAAAGCACAACAAAGAATGTTCTTTCTGCACCAACTCAGAAAGCTCAAACTGCCCAAGGAGCTGCTGATACAGTTCTACAGAGGAATTATTGAGTCTATCATCTGCACCTCTATAACTGTCTGGTTTGGTTCTGCAACCCAACAGGACAGACACAGACTTCAGAAGATAATTAGGACTGCAGAAAAAACAATTACTACCCATCTGCCTTCAATTGAGGACCTGTATACTGCATGAGTCAAAAAGAGGGCTGTGAAAATATTTACAGACCCCTCACATCCCAGACATAAACTGTTTCAACTCCTTCCCTGAA